ACAGGCGGATGGATGGATGGATGGATGGATGGATGGATGGATGGATGGATGGACAGATGGATGGATGGATAGACAGATGGATGGATGGATAAGTAGACAGACAGATGGATGGATGGATGGATGGAAAGACAGACAGATGGATGGATGGACGGACGGACGAACGGATGGATGGATAACTGGATTAATGGATGGATGGATAGACAGACAGACAGACGGATGGATTAACGGATGGATGGAAAGACAGACGGACGGATGGATGGATGGATAAATGGATGGATGGATGGATGGATGGATGGATGGATGGATAGACGGATGGATGGATGGATGGATAGACAGGCGGATGGATGGATGGATGGATGGACAGACAGACAGACGGATGGATGGATTAATGGATGGATGGAAAGACAGACAGATGGATGGATGGATAGATAAACGGATGGATAGACGGACGGACGGACGGATGGATGGATGGATGGATGGACTGACAGACAGACGGATGAATGGATGGATGGATAGACAGACAGATGGATGGATGGATGGAAAGATAAAGACAGACGGATGGATGGATGGATAGACAGACAGATGGATGGACAGACAGACAGACGGATGGATGGATGGATAAACGGATGGATAGACAGACAGACAGACAGACTGATGGATGGATGGTTGGATGGATAGATGGATGGATGGAAAGACAGATAGATGGATGGATGGATGGATGGATGGATGGATGGACGGACGGACGGATGGATGAACAGACAGACAGACGGATGGATGGATGGACGGACAGATAGATAGATAGATAGATAGATAGATAGATAGATAGATAAACAAGTTCTCTCTCTAGTATGAGCTTTCTCAGATCCGCACCTAAAGATTATATTAAAGTTGACCTTTTCTGCCACTTTTGACGAGATGTAAAATGCGTCTCTGATGCTCTAGAGATCCTGTGTGTGTTTGAGCTGAGAACAGCACACACACAGATAATGTTCTCTAGCGCTCTGAAGCTGACCCTTTCAAACTTTGATCCTCAATGTGGTGTTTTGGTGACTGTCGCTTTAAAATCAAATAAGATTGTGCTCTATTTAGAATAGGGCGGAGCTACAAATGCCTCTGCATCCTCATAGTGACAGATGCACAACAGCAGTGTGTGTGTTATTAGTGCTGGTCAGGTGTGCGCGTGTGCTTCAGAGTGAGTGTGTGTTCATGCTTCTGTCAGTCTATGTCGGTCCTCTCTGTTTATCTAGAACTCCACATCTATAATCCTCTTAGTCTATGCTGACATTCTCTTCAGCAGCTCAAACACTCTAATGGACAGACGGCTGCTTCTCACTCAGGGCTGCTGTTTATGCTAATGAAGGAGAGATCAAATCAAAATCAATCAAAGTGTTTCATTCATCAAGTCTGATTATAAACAAATGCAATTAATTCATGTTGACCATTAAAGGGCTGGAGGTATTCACACTGACCTCTTATTAAAGTGATTTTTGCATAATAGGGCTCCTTTAAAGCGACACACTGTTCGGTTGTTTTCAGTGTCAGTCATCATCGCTGCTAGTTGAGCGTGATTTCATGTTGCTTGTAGTTCTCTGCAGCCCTTTTTCAGTGTCGAGATCACATGACAGCTTAATCTCCTCCTGTCAGTCAAACGTCACAGCGTCCCTATGGCGACCGCACCGCTCTCATCAGGACCCGTCAGTGGTTTAGTATGATTACAGCGCAGACTTTCAGACCGCTTTGACGAGTGCCTGAAAAATGAGTGTAATAATAATCATATTGTCAGTGTTTGACATTATTCTGTCTCAGAGTGAGTTACTGCAGCTCTCGCTCATCTGTTACAGGCTGCTGAGATCATTCTCTATTACCATCACATACACATACACACACAGAAAATTATGATTAAAAAAAGGTCTAATGTAAACATTCTTTTTGAGAGATATAGCTAGGAATATTTCTGCATTTATTTTTATCAATTATTTTGTCTTCATTTTTACTTTTTATTATTAAGTGCTGCAGGTCTTTTGTAAATTTGTCATGATTTGATTGTGTGTGTGTGCATGCGTGCAGGTGTGTTATTTAGATGATAATGTTAATACTTTTAAAAGTAATTTATATAATTCACTTTTTTATTTAACTTATTATTATTTGAGACTTTATAATTTTTAACTTTATAACTAATATGAAATATTTATTATTCTTATTTTTATTATTATTATTATTTCTATTAAATTATTATTATTATTATTATTATTATTATTTCTATTAAATTATTATTATTATTATTATTATTATTATTATTTCTATTAAATTATTATTTTTTAAATTTTTATTAAATAATAATAATAATAATTATTATTATTATTATTATTATTAATATTTCTATTACATTATTATTATTATTTCTATTAAATAATAATAATAATAATTATTATTATTATTATTATTATTATTTATATTAAATTATTATTATTATTATTATTATTATTATTATTATTATTAA